AGATTAATGGAATTGTAATGAACATTGAACAGTAAGGATTGTTATTTAAAGACAATTAAGGGTAAGCTAAGTCAAGATATGGAAAATGGAGGGGGAACATGAACTATAATTATAATGAAAAATTATTGAGATTATAAAGACAGAACTACAAATTTGGGGCCTGAAATTATGTATAACTATATAAATATAATGATGAGAATAGCTGGGAATTGTAACCAGGTCTACATCCCAGCCAAAAATAGGCCGGGGGGTGGGGGGTGTTAAAATATAATTACTATATATGTATACTTTTCTTTAAAAAAAGAAGGAGGAGGATATATGTTAAAATTAAAGATGTATATTGAAATGGAAGTATAAATACCATCAACATAAAATGGAGCTCGCTCAGAGGCTGAAATACACCAAGTAAATGAGATGAAGAGTGCGGAGTAGAGGAAAGAGGTAAGGAAAGAAGAGAGAGATAGGAGAAAGGGGAAGGAGGGGGAAGAAGAGAGAAAGAAGGAGTGGAAAGGAGAAAGAGGAAAAGGAGAGAGGAAGGGGAAGCAGAGAAGGACGGCAGAGGAGGTAGGGAGGAGGAGGAGAGAGGGAGAAGAAAATGATGGATAGAGTATAAATACTGTGTATGGAAAGCAGAAGAGGCAATAATCGTTTTGGGTGGGTTGATGGTAAGACGAATTGATCTAAACATTTAACAATATAATATAATGTTGGTTATGTAATAGTAAACGTGGTTATTTATTATGTAAATGAAAAAATTAAAAAAAACTTTTTAAAAAAAATTTCACTATTGGTTTGCTAGAACCAGTCAGAACTGGCTGAATACCACCTCTGAGCCACTTATTTATAGGTAAACACTATAATTCATGTTGCTATAGTATCTTTGATATCAACATTATTTTATGTGGCTCTAAGAAAAAAATTCACTTTGAGTAGTTTATATAAATAAAAATCCAATTGAGTACCAGTAAAATAGATTCAGTGAGAAGATACAGTATTTGAAGGGGTACAAATCTTCCATGTAATTTTAGGATTGTTTTATGTGTGCAAGTCAAAAAGAGATATGAACTAGACTGAGTTTCCATTGTTTCCATGAAATTTTAATTGTGAATTAAAAGATCTTTAAGACTGCTTTAAAAATAGTTGTAAGAGCTGCAAAAAAATCTGTGACTAGGACGTGGGCAGCATATACATTTAATGAAATAAATAAATATTAAATAAATTTTAATACATATTTGGATGCTATATAGTAAGAACAATCATGAAGTAATAAATGAAACATTTTTAGTCTACCTTTTTGTTTTAGGGCTCTGTTGCTATTGCAGGAGCTGTTGTTCGTTGGTTGAGGGACAATCTTGGTATTGCAAAATCTTCAGAAGAAGTAGGTGAGTATAACTTTCTAATTTATTGTAAATCTGTAAGAATACAGGGACTCAGAGGTTCTGTGTTTCATTCAAACATGTTCACGTAGATAAGAATTTTATTTGTGTACTCAATGTCTATACCATTATTAACCCTAAGTACCCAAATTTTAGGATTAGGGACCCTGTATTTCTTCTGAAAATGTAATAGTGAAATATTTATATGGTGAATATTGCTAGTAAGAGTAGGAATATTAATCATACAGAGTTTCAATTATAATTAATTAAAACAGCAATTCTACACCATTTCCCTGGAAAAAAAAGAAAGCTCAGTAGGATTTATTTTTATTCAAATCATACCATAAGCTTTTATTTATGGATATAAATGATCTGTGGGAGGTATATTGTAGTTCAGCATATCCAGAAAGTACCAACTTGTTGAAGATTATAGCATATATAACAGTTATATTTCTGCTTCCTGGCTCTATGTTTGTTATATAGGTTAATGCACTCAACAGTCTTATTTATTCTCAAAATTACTTGCATTTTCTTTTGCAATTCTTAGTTTTCAAATGGCTATTGAAAGCTAAGGATACGTTTTCTATTTTGTATTGATCTTAGAGAAACTTGCTGCCGAAGTAGGCACATCTTATGGCTGCTACTTTGTTCCTGCATTTTCAGGATTATATGCACCATACTGGGAACCCAGTGCAAGGGGGTAAATATTATCTGATTGAATGTTAATATTATCTGATTGAATGTTAAATAGTATTTTTCTGGTATTCTCCTAATAAAACAGGGCTTATGAATGACCAACAACAAAGTCCTTATGAAAGATTGAGTGTATATTCTGCTTTTTAAAAAAATTATTTTAAAACAAACAAAAACATACATATAACATAAAAATATCATCAATTACATATCTATTTAGCATGTCGTTTGGTCACAAACATTTGTGCATCACCGCTTTCAGTTGCATATAAAATCAACAGTTATCAACCAAATATATATTAATACATTGATTATCATTATAAAGCATATATTCAGTTTACTCTTATAATTTCTTCCTTTTAAATATATATTCTAAAGATTGTATTCGTATGTTTGCTAGCTATCTGTTACATCATTGTAAATCTATTTAATAATAACATATCTTTATGGTATCATCTATACCATATTTCTGGTATTTCTTGCAGTATATTAAAAAAAAGGTTCACCAACATTTTACCTTTGTGTATCATTACTTTCTGTTAAATGTAAAATCATAAAATATCTATCCAATATATAGAAATACATCTTAATCATTGTATCTTATATATTCTACAATTATTGTTTCTTCATTTTAAACAAAATATTCTAAATATTTCATTCATATATATATAACAATAATCCATTACTTGGTTATAAATCTATACAATCTATATATTCAATTCATATATATACCAATATTCCATTACATTATTATAAATCTATACAGTCTATATAAAAGTAATATGTCTTTATAATATCTCCTATCACATTTTATTATTACAATTCAAAATTATGGTAATTATATCGATTGATTAAACAAGTCCCAAATCTTATAAAATTGTTCCTCTTCTTGTTCCCTAATTTCAAATGTCAATTTACTCATTTCAGCACATTCCATTGCTTTTCGAATAACTTCCTCCTGCGTTGGTATTTTCTCATTTTTCCAATTTTTTGCAAATACAATTCTGGCTGCCATTAAAATATTTACGATCAAATATTTCAAGTCTTTATTGTATGTATCTGGTATAATACCCAATAAAAGAGTCTCTGGTTTAAAGTCTATGCCTTTCTGTGTCATTTTTTCCAACCACATGTGGATTATAGTCCAATACCTTTTAGCTTCTGTGCAAGTCCACCACATCTGGTAATATGATCCCGGTGTCTGGTGATATTTCCAACATTTTTCTGATTTGTTTTTGGACATTCTTGCTATTCTCGTTGGGGGTAGGTGCCACCT